GACACGAGGAGTTATTATCGCCGCTGTCTTCTCATCTGGTGAACCGAACCGAGGGAGCTCTCCCGGGGTGGGATGTTAGAGGGACCGGCCAGCTGCAAAGCGAACGCCCGATCGCCCCATTTAGCCCCCAAATAAAGAAGAGTGTGGTGGGACTGGGGAGGTAGGGGGAACACACACACACACACACGCTCACACACTCACTCACCCACTCACTCGAACGCTCCTCAGGAGTAAAGAGTGGATGAAAGATCCCACAAATGACACACGGAGCCTACACGGCAGCAGATATTCACCGGATCTCGCCACGTTTCGTTTTTTTTCCTTTCACGCAGGAACTCCGGAGCAATATGAAACTGATTCAGCGTGTTTCTCTGCCCCCCCCCTCCCCCTCCACCTTTTTCGGCAAAGGACCTCCCCTACATTCATTTACATACGTCAGTAAATACAGCTGTCCTTCAGCAAGGTGAAAACACACCTCTATACCTTCACATAAAACTCTCAACTCGCACACGACCAAAGGGCTTTATCTATTTTTTCCCCCGTTTTTTTGTAATGACTTCTGAAAAAAGGCACGCTCCGACTGAGTTTTTTTTTCTTCCTCACTGCAGTGAGTGACGCAGCTGGACCTCCTGAGTAAAAGCCACCTAGTTGACCAGATGTTACAAATCCAGTAAACTCAGCGATTTGTTCGATATATGGTCATAAGGCTGATACAGCTGACAGGCTAAATCAACAGCAATGATGCGGGAACTTGATCTTTGCGCAAAGAGCGACTGTCCAGTTGCGCACGCACTGTCCCAAGCAATGTTTTTTAAAGGTCTTAATACATATTGCAGATCGTAGGCCTACTTTGCTTTTCCTTAACCACATGCCCTTCATTCAGACAGGCCGAGCCTGGTTTACTTTGTATCTCGGAGACAACGCCTTGCGAAAGCTTGGCAAACACATTGCAGATTTCCCAGGTGGCAAAACGTGCTTTCGGGAGTTTAAAGTTCCCCACGACAGCTTCGAACAATGCGCACGTCAAGACGAAAGAATGAAACAGAGCACGGTTGGTCTGATTGTCTTGAGCCTGAGTGGCCGAGCACGTTCAACGAGAAGGAATTAAACACGGTGTGTCACATCTCTTTCAAGGCTGGAAAAAAAAGAGCTAAATTTAAACCAGTGGTGACACTGATAAGGCTCCTCTGGGCTGGCTGAAGATGAGCAAACACGCAGCACCCCCTCCTTTCTTTTTCCTTTTCTTTTTTGTTTTCGTTGTTGAGGCCCATTAACGATAAGGATGGATCAATTTGACTATGAAAGTTTCAATTTCAGAACTAATGCGGTTAATAATTTCAGCATGTATCGCAGTGACATGCGCTGGACTTGGAAAGGTTAACGCAAAGAGTGCGTTGCGCACACCCCACCGGTTAATCCGTGTTTTCTCCTCCAAGAGCAACGCTTCCAAGGTCATCAAAGCAGAGAAATAGGCGGCCCGTGGCGGCTCATCTCTCAGGACCTCTGCCACACACCGAGATAATAAGAATGATCAATGAGAAAAAAAGAATACCCTGACCCTTCAGCTGCCACTTTTGCCGCACCGACCGAGACATCCGCTTTACATCTCATGAAGCTCTTGCCATGAAATACCCCTCTAATCCATTCCATGTTCGATTGCAAACGACAGCACTGCATGCGCACACACCGTGGGGTCGCGTGTCTCCCCAACGTAAAGTCTGAATTACCTTTATCGTTCACCGTTTTGAGACTGTGAATAAAACGTATTTCTGTTTGCCTCGTCAGGGTTTGGATATGACAAACGAGCTACCCTTGTGCCGAGGTAGTCAGCAGTTGCCTCAACAGCTGATTGACTGCGGCGCATGAGTGGTGTCGACGGGGCTGCTGGGAATTGTAGTTTTGTCTTTTAAGAAGCACCGGCCGGTTCCTGAAACGCGTTCCGTCTCCTGTTATGGTCAGTTCTATGAATCCTCCTGAAGACTCCACACTCTCAATGGTTGGAGTACAGTGGAAGAGTGAAATAGATAAAGAAGCAATCAACACGTTGGACCATCGAGTTACAACGTCTCTCCCAAGTTTGCGAAAAAGATGCGAGATGAAAACAAATTAGTCCAACAAAACCCTTTTACACTTGCATTCAAAGCTCTGGGGAGGACGAAAAACCAAGAATACCATCACACAAAAGTTGAAACATGTTCATGTTACAACTGTTCAACATTATAATACAAAATACCATTTGAAATCAGCACTTTGAAACTACATTTCCCATGTCAGAGGAACGGTGCCCTGTTGCGGCGTGGTCCTTGTTTTGATGACGCAGCCACGCACATACGTGCTTTACTGCGTTACCTCAGAGACACTGACAGTCAATGGAGTCAAACGGTCACGCCAAACGAGGCCCATGCAGGTTTAAAGAGGATTTCTACTCGAAATAGTGCGCTGACCGCATTGAAATACTTATTTAGGTAGCCATGACCGCGAGGAGATAGTTTTATGCGGGAACCCTCGGCTCGTTTGCGCCTGACGCGCCGTGTCAACACAAAGGCCCGTGTAGCTCGGCAGCTAGCTAGCTAGCAAGCCAGCAGTTTTTTCAACGCCGACCTCAGCTGCGGCAAACTGTCAAGCACTTCTTTCAAGTTTTAGCTGCAACGCTGTTAATCCCACCTAAGAGGAAGGTTTAATCTCGTCGTTGGTGTCTGCTACAATGGCGGAGCAGAGTGCAGTTGTCACGCCGCAGAATTTGGACAGGTGAGTGCAAGCTAAAGGCTAACATGCTACGTAGCTTTACATAAAATGACAACATTCAAAGAAGACATCTTTGTCTTTTTTTTTTCTTGGGGATAGAAAACTTGTTTCAAATTAGAAAATATTACTTAAAACCCACCACTGGCTTCCTCGTGCGTTGAGCATCATTATGTTTTCGGTGGAGGTTGATAGAGGAAGCCCCCTCGGCTGTAATAGAGATGCTGCGTTCAGTGTTGTTTCAATAAACAGCACGCGACGAACGAGCCATTTGCTCTACATTGTTATGTGCAAATGAAGTTATAGATGTGTAAAGTGAAGCTTAACCGTGCGGCCATTTCTTTGTCTACATTTGCCAATGTAAACATTTTAGGAAAGAACATCATATCAGACATAACGGGAAGCGGAACAGAAATGTCACACGTCCATGAAAAGAACGGGCAGTGCTGCTCAGCAATTCTTTTTCAGAAGTCCCCCATGTTATTATGTTGAGGCTTACTTTGATATTTTAAGAGGCTAGAAGTGACTTAATGTGCCTTACACACCTTTGGCTTATTATGTTGAGGCTTACTTTGATATTTTAAGAGGCTAGAAGTGACTTAATGTGCCTTACACACCTGACGTCATCTGATTGATCCAGAGCATATCATTTTTTGTCTTGCTTGTTTTTGTCTGAGGTTTTGTTGCTAAAAATTATAAGAAAACCTTAACATCCTTAAAATAACAGGCTGCTAGGGAACATGAGAGAAGGTCCATTATGATGGGAATAGAAATGTTTTTGAGCTACAAGCACATATTCTCCAAAGATTCACCACTTTTTTAACATGAATCTTCTTCCCCTTTTGGTTTTGATAGAAAACTAACATAAAGGTGCATTTCCTGTTCTGGATGGTCAGATCTGCTTGTGGTGCATTCCTTGGTTATGCCACACTTTAAGCTGGCTATGGCCTAAGGCAATCTTGGCCGAACTTCAGCATCAGGTTTGAAGGTTCCCAGTCATATCTGCTCGTGTCTTAACTGTCCACTGAAACGACACGTGGGTTCAGCTTTGCCTGGACTGCATCAGGAGAAAAAAAAGATGACCGTGTGAGACTGCTCAGGAGATTAGGCCGAAAGACACAAATCACCCTGAAATGGAAGCCATGACAGCAAGTTTGTTGCGGACGAGCTCCAGGAAGATATTGAAGGGGATTAGAGAAGCAGGAACAGGGTGACTTTTGCTGTCATAGAGGCTTCTGCTCGCTCTCCTGTTGCAGTGTGGCAGGTTTATAAGAACCCCACTCGGTGCACGTGCATAAGCAGAAAAGGAGCTTGGAATAAGACGAAGGCGCCCTTGCTCCGCTCACATACTTGCATTAAGGATATCCAGTATATCGGATCTTGAGAAACATACTAGCATGACTGTAATTAGGTTTGAAAATTGGACTTTACCTTTGGATTCTGCTTACAAGAGTCAGACCAATCGCTTGGCCGTGGTAATCTAAACATGGCTGTTAGTTTGGCATGTTAACTGCATTTAAAAAAAAAAAAACACCAGTTCAAATGTCTTACACAAAGCATGTTTTTTTTATTTTATTTTATTTTTAGATTTTTTGGCTCTAGTGGCCTTTAATGACAGTAGGTTGACAGGAAAGGGGGCAGAGACAGAGAGGGGGAGACCTGCGGGAAAGGGCCGTGGGCCGGATTCGAACCCAGGCCGCCCGCTTACGAGCAGAGGCTCTGTATATGGGCCGCCCGCTCTAGCCATCAGGCTACGGCTGCGGCCCACAAAGCATGTTTTTAATAACATAACATGCTAGCTTTTTTATTTTGGTAAAAGTTATATAAATTTGACAATGTTCAGATACAGTCGTTGGGTCCAAACAGCCATGGTGAAAGAACTTTAAAGCCATCCATGATAGATCGGGGACCACAACAGGCCGTCTGCTCATGTCTGCCTGATAGGAGACAAAAGCGACAAAGCGAGCGTTCCCCAAACCCGCACTAAGGCAGCGGGAAGAAAAGAAGGGCATGCGAGCTTTGTGCGGCGTGCCTTGGCTACGTGCTGCAGGTGCAGCAGATAGCATCCAGCTTTATGTCGTGCTCCTTTGCTCAGAGAGAGAGTTGTGTACCCAGCCTCTATCGCCAGCAAACATGAGGCCCCACAGGCTCTTATCTGGGCCCACCACAAGCATCGACTGCCTCTGCAATGCAGCGTTTCATAAGTAGACGACGGCGGTGGTGGTGGTTGTGGTGGGATGAGGGCACCTTTCACTCTAACTAAACCTTTTTTTCTCCATTTCCTTTCGTCTGTCATGGTCCAGAATAGGCGTCCTTCTGCTCTGCATGGGTTCATGTGAATGAAAGGTGTAGGTTTTGATATATGGGCAGCCTGTGAGTTTTTCTCTTGTATTCATTGGTGCTACCATGTCCCCTTAAGCTTCCCGAACAAGGTCAGCCCGTTTAGATTGCTGTCCCAAAACTAAACTATTTACGTTTTTAAGACAGAGGCTACATGTGAACGTCAGTTGGAAAGTCATGTGACTCTTAAAACCGGAACACCGCAGGCTGAAGAGGTGCATTTACTGGTTTGTGGGATCAGCTGAGGCGGTCGCAGTGGATGAGACGTCCTCCTTCCTCACTGATTACCAAATCTCGAATCTTGCCTTTGAAATGATATTATACACTCCCATACACGTCAAAATGATTTGTGTCTAAGTTTTATTTGGGTTGTTGTTACTTTTATGTTGCACAGTGTTGTCACAACATCCAATTAATCTGCTGTTCGCTGCTATGGAAAATGCCTCTTAGCTTATAAAAATGGTAACACTTTAATTTTCTCTAAGGAATTGTCATCATGTCTAACTTAACACATCATATTCTGGGTCTCTAGACTTTTGATTTTTTTTTGTTGAATTTAAAGGAATTTATGTCCCTTTGAAACTAAACATGGCGGACCTATTTCCCATACCCCTTCTGCTCAGGACCCTTCAGCTTTTCCCAACATCATATGACGATGGATCAGTGAAAGGAGCCGTTTGGGGTGTTGCTTACACTCTTCTTATCGAACTGAACCTGACCTGCCAGGATGCACATGGCGGTCACATCAGGGCCGAGCTGTCGTGTATAAAATCACTTGAAGGCCTAGCAATGCCAGCAGACCGGCTGCTCTGTTGCGTGAGAGATGCCGCCGTCAGTCTCCTGCTTTTAAAAGTGGCAGAGCCCTCTCAGCGTTGGGCTTTATTTGCCAAAGTGCTCCGTTGAACAGGGAGCCGCGGATTAAGGTTTCGCGCGGAGGGTAGCGTTTCAGCGCCGTCCTTCCAGGGCCCGTCAGGCTCAGGGGCCCGGTTACAGGAAGAGGAGGAGGGGGATCTAAGGTAGCGCCGCGTCTCCTCTTCATCAGAGGCCCTGCGCCACGACTAACCTGCCGCGTTTCGCTCGCGTTCCAATCGACGGTTCAGACCGTCCGGACAGGGACGTGTCACCGGAGGAGCCCGACCCGAGCCCCCCCTGCCCGGCATGTTTTATTCAGCGCTGGAAATGCTCTATTACATGCAGCGAGTGACCAGAGCCAATAATCCAAGCTGGCCACCCACCCCGACCCCCGTGTCACTGGTAACACAAGCGCAGCAGACCTCCATACCAGGATGACAGAAAGCCACAGATTTGGCATCCATTATTCATCTGAACTGCACACGATGTTCCCCTAGGATCTGCTGAATGTAAAAGCAGCACGGAGAGACGCGTTTTTTGTCTTGCTTGTTTTTTTAAACCGAAGGACCTCTTTAAAAAGGGGCCACCTTTACTGACCGAGGTCAAAGGGACTGATAGACAAGTGTTCCTCTGTTGGCTTGTTTGTAACGTTAAGAAGCCGTGTGCGGAAGGGTCACCGTGAAAGCGAGGGGGGTTAGCCCCTCACCACCCCCCCCCCCCCCGCGAGACACCACTGAGGCTTTCACATATTGGGTTCTAAAATCAAAATGAAGCCTGGCCTCTGTCCCCACTTGTGGCTGGTGGGTCCTAGTAGTGTTTTTTTCTGACTTTGTTCTTCTTCCCTTATAAGTTAAACGCCCGGGTTGATGTTTGGCATCGGCTATATTGGGAATCTTTCTACTTTTCAAAACAGTTCAAACATAAATGCATACATGTCTGATCTGTCCAAATAAGCCCATAAATGTCTCTAAATATTTGACCCGGTCTGGAAACCAGTTAACCAGGACTTCCGATAGCAGAGACCAGTGAGATGAGATGGGTGAGAGTGAGATGGGCCTTCCTCTATGGAAGTTCATATTGCAACGTTACCCGAAATGTAAACACACAGTCATTTTTGTCTATTTTTTTAATGTATTTTTTTAGACTCTCCTGTTTCTGGCTTTTCTTTAGGAGCCCCAAAACATGGTTTCTCTGCATCTCAAAGGACCTGAAGTTGACATGAGCTGTGTGTGTGTGTGTTGCAGGAGCTGCTGGGTGTGCTTCGCCACGGACGAGGATGACCGCACGGCCGAGTGGGTCCGACCTTGCCGATGCCGCGGCTCCACCAAGTGGGTGCACCAGTCCTGCCTGCAGCGCTGGGTGGACGAGAAGCAGCGGGGCAACAGCACGGCACGCGTGGCGTGCCCCCAGTGCAACGCAGAGTACCTCATCGTCTTTCCCAAACTAGGTGGGCTGCCATTTCACAGGCAGAAAAATAAAAGAACCACCTGTCAAAACCATTCCCGCCACCCATGCTCACGTCTCAATGTGCCGCCCTTTTGTGGCCCCAAAGAGGTGGCATAGGCGTCCAGTCACGGTTCCCAATCAGCTCGGCCCGAAAAGGGTTTCATTCATCCCGCTATGAATCAGAATCATAAATACTTGAATAATCCCAGAGGGAAATGATTATATGTGACTGTATACCTTTGGAAATTGCCACTGTCCGTCCTGAGTACGACTCATTTTTTGGCTAGAAATGGCTCCGTTTGACGTCCCTCGCGCTTCCCTTAATTCGGCACTGCTACCTCTTTTTCTTGGAGGGGGGGATTTGCCGATGCAGTTTTAGCGCCTCTCCCGCCTCTATTTCCACCTCACAGCGATAGAAGCTGCAATCCGAGCCCGAAGCGGGATCTGAGACAATGTTTGCATGCGGGAGGGAGCCCCGGGCCCAGCCGGTAAATGGGTTGGTATGTATTTTTAGCAACCAAGGCTGTGCTGTCACTCACTCGCTTTGGTGCCACAAGCTGAAGCTCCAGCGTGGCAATTTTTAGATCTTACCTAGCTTCTCGGGTATATTGGCGCGTTGGCTTTTTTTCCATTTTCATTCCATTTTAGCCAAAACTGCCGGGGCTCCACGTGACCTGTGTTCTCTGAGGAGCTGGGATTCGTTCCACCTCTGAGACCTCCCCAAATCCTGGCTTTCTATCTGGCTATCCTTGGGCTCTTCAGCTGGTTTGTTTCCAGTTTTGAGAGAGGGCAGATATCTATTCCTAATTTGACAAGAAAAATTAGGTTTGTTGAGGTAAAGAAAACATTTTTGAGAAGAGAAATGATTGCAGTTCCTGGTTGGATCAGTAGAGGTACCAAGTCAGAGCTGTTATGTGAAGCTCAGGGGCTGAATGCATCGTTTTTCTCCTCCTCCGATCCCACTAGTGGGTGGGGGACATGGTGAGGGACTGGGAGCGATAGGGGTCAAAGGCCAGACGGGGACGATAAGCCCGCCACAACCCAACCGTAACCGCCTCCTTTTGACCACAACCTCCAATTTTTTTTTAAAAACTCCGAACGCGATCCAGTGAAAAGAAAGGCCCGTTTCCGATTCACAGGAAGCAGGGCGGCCGGACTGGGCGGAATCCTCCCAATGCCCCGGAGGGCCAGAGCTTAAAGCTTTCCACACAGATACTGAGACGGTGACGTTGCTTCAGGATAACATTTTTTTTTTTTAAACTGTTAGGTGTTAAACTTTGTACTCCTCAGGGTTTGTGGCAGCAGGTGTGAAACCACACACACACACAGGCTGGACGCTGTGTTCTGTGGCGGATTCCTCTGGGAGCGTTAATAGGACATGGCCGAGCCGGTCGAGGTCGCCTTCCTGTAAATACACCGCCCGCTCTCCCCGGAGTCGGCCTGGAATCCAGCTGAGTCCTGACATCAGTCGGGGATGTCGGAGCGGAGATTAATCCCCATTTAGAATCGGCCCGGGGTTGTTTTTAGCCGGGGGAGCTGGAGGTCCTTTATCCTCCACACACCTGGCCTGGGAGCAGCCACCAGGGCCGCGCTCGGCCAATCGAAAGGAAGCTAGGACGCTGGTCTGAGCCTTTGGGCCTGTCCATCCTCCCAACAGTGGTGATCCCCAAAGCCTTTATCGGGAGGAAAGAGCGGAAAGATGTTTCCATTCTTAACCGACTCTAAAATCTTTTTTTCCTTTTTCATTCAAGGGTTTCCAAGAACATTTCATTACAGCGTAGCATCCGATCTGGCATGGGGGGGAATTTGTCACGGGTTAAAGCTCATTCCAAAAAAAAAAGTTTCTGGCGTCTGGATCTGAGCCGTGTCTTGTGTCCGGTCTGACCTCAGGTCCCGTGGTGTACGTGCTGGACCTGGCCGACCGGCTCATCTCCAAGGCCGGGCCCTTCGCCGCCGCCGGCATCATGGTGGGCTCCATCTACTGGACCGCCGTCACCTACGGCGCCGTCACCGTCATGCAGGTAGCCCCCCCCCCCCC